TGCAAATTCTTGCCTCTTTGGTCTTCTCATAATTCAATCTCTGTCTCTTCAACTCAGGGAGATTTGGGGCTTTGTTTGGGTTCTTCTTCTGTATACCAAAATCTAGAAATGGTCCTCTGGTAGATATTGGCTCACAGCTATGATTTCTAAGAACAGAGTTGGTAAAGTGCTTGCCTAGCAACCTCTTTGTCTGCCTATAGCTGTTTCCAATAGATAATCCTACTTTATAGTAATTTATGAATGGGAAATTACTCACACTTCGCCAAAAGAGGGAATTCTGTCTCTTGCATTTTTTTGTAATAAATTATGTTCATAGTTTTCCTGACAGCTAGCTATACTACCATTTCTGAGAAAATCCCTACTTGGTCATAGTTATTGGTCATTTAATTCAATGCTTAAATCAATTGGCTGATATACTATTTAATATTTTGGCATCTAATACTTAGTTTTTTGTTTTGCTTTGTTTTTTAATTTTAAGTGGACACAATATCTTTATTTTATATTTATGTGGTGCTGAGGATTGAACCCAGTGCCTCTCGCATGCCAGGTGAGTACACTACCACTGAGCTACAACCCCATGCCCTAATACTTAGTTTTAATTCATAGTTTTTTACTTATTGTGTTCTCTATTAACTATATAATCATATTTTTGTTATTAAAGTCATGATAGTTTTATAAAGTGAACTTGGGAACATTATGTTTTTCTTTAAATTATTTCAACAAAGCCGAAATTGCTTGTTTTTACACAGAACTCATCTGTTCAAACATCCTGTCCTTTTGAGTAATAAACCTCAAATGATCTTTCAAATCTCTTTTATAGAGTTTAGTTTATTATTCAGTCTTCTACTTTGAAGGGTTAATTCAGTTACATTTTGTGGGGACATATCCATTCTTCTAGTTTTAAAAATTTTTTGTTATAAAATTTCACACAATATCTTGCTAATGTTTGTTAATTTGCAAGTTCTATTGTGCTTTTCATAGTCCTAGTATTTATATGTCCTTTCACAGGCCTAATGATACAAGTATTTACTTACTATTATGTGAGGAGGGAAAAGAAGATATCAGGCAATCCCTTCAACTGAATCATTTCTTATCTTTTCTTTCCCGTTTCTTCTTTCTCCCCAATACTAGGTTCTTAGAATGTTTTTACTTCCCATTCATTCCCAACCCATCTTGAGATCCTGCTAAGATTCATTTAATTTGGTTCAAATGAAATTTCTTTAATA